CGACTAATTAGCTTCGAGATCTTCTTGAATTTCAAAAGACATATTTTCAGATTTTTTCCGATTTACAATCCAAAATATGCTCGATTGTATTCGCAAAGTCGGAAGCTCGGTACACTTCCACCTCACATCTTCGCCATTGCCGACGTCACTTATCACAAGTAAGTCAAATCCGCTCGTCGTATTCAGATTGTAATAGGGCATCTCGGGAGCAGCAGATGTTTTGGGGGTATTGGGAACGAGTGAGCGGTTCTGTACTTCTCACCAACCATAGTTTCAGTGAGAAAGCTCACCAGCCCAGTCCACAACGGTCGTGTGGGCGGAGTCGGACCTGTCATTGTACATTCCCCGATGATACATCCCTCATTCTTGCTTTCTCAGAAGACATAAATGCTCCAATGAAGAAGACGCTATGCTAGGCCCGACCCTACCCATACGACCAGGGTGGACTCTATGTATAATTCCAATGTTTCAGCATGCTTCGTATCAAAGAGAGTCAATGTGTGGTGATCAGTGGTGAGAGTGGTTCGGGTAAAACTGAATCCACAAACCATCTGATCTCTCATCTGACATCGCTTTCTCAGAAAGGTAGCAATGCGTGTACATCCGAGACCACTCTACTCAACGCTGGGCCAGTCCTCGAGGTCAGTCACTTCTCTCCAACTTCAGCTCAAACTCCCTGGATAATCCATAGTCGTTCCAGGCATTCGGTAACGCCGTTACGCTGCAGAACAATAACAGTAGTCGCTTTGGTAAATTCATCAAAATCAACTACAGGGAGAACGGAATGGTATCTGGGTGAGCGTGCTTTCTATGCGTATTGATCGGTTGTCAGCTGAAGGAGAGCTTTGCCTTATTTCAGGGCTAATGTTGAAATTTATCTTCTGGAAAAGTCTAGGATAATTTCTCAGGCGAAAGGTGAAAGGTAGGGAATGTCTATCGTTATTTGTTCGTTACTAAATGTTCAGGCCGCGTTCATGCTTTGCGGTTAGAGAGGTTTGGCGATTATGGCGGGACAAAGAATGTATAGTTATCGATCTAGCGATTGGGGAGGTACGGCACGCGGTCGGCGATTTCCCAAAACGCCGCACCGCCTAGTCCCTCAAAACGCCAGATCGCACAATCTGTCGGTCACCACCAATCGATACCTATACTTTCTTCGTCGCGCGATCTCTCCAATCACCGAATCTCCTCAATCAAAATTATGAGCACTGCCCAAAGTAAAATTCCAGGAATTATCACGTGTTCTACTACCTCTTGGAAGGCGCCAGTGAAGCAGATCGCGCCAAATATTTTCTCTTGAAGCCACAGGATTACCATTACCTCAATCAGGTCATCTTACCCCCTTTCCCTATTCTATGCTCCAAATAATGATTTGTCTTGTAGCATGAGCAGTTCTCACCTGAAGGTGTAAACGAGAAGTACGAGTTCGAGCGATTACGAAGGGCGATGAGCAGCGTCGGTTTCAACTCCTGTACCCAGTCGACGCTTTTTGGCCTCATTTCGGCGGTTACTACTCCTCGGCAACATCTCCTATGTTAAGGTATGCACAATCTGAGCAAAAATCCACTGAAAAAATAAAAATTGAAGTTCCCCTGGTGGAGCAGGCTAATCCGATTTTCCTTACAGAGGCATGCGTATCATAGCGATGAGAATGCCTACATTGAGAATGAAGAAGTTGTGGACTTGGTTGCTCAACTGCTCAACATCAAAACGGAAGCTCTTATTCAGGTAACCCTAGTTGAAAGGTCAATTCTAGACTATTAAATGGAATTGAATACAATTTCAGGCGCTCACGATGAAGCGGCACGTCATGAAGACGGAGACTGTGGTGACCCGGTACAGTGTTTCTGAGGTTAGCCTTAGCCCTCTCGGTGCTTTACCAGTTTTTACGCTATTAATTTGAATTGCTTATTAATTTAAATTTTCAATCCAATGAACTGTTGCTCATTTGAGGCGATCAACACACGAGATGCCATGGCAAAATGTTTGTACAATGCGCTGTTCCACTGGATTGTGCTGCGAATCAATCAGGCTCTCATGAGGAAGGACGTCTCAGGCAGTGTGGGATATTATATAGGTGAGGGGCTATTTCAACACTCAAAGTTTGTAGTCGTACTCTGCTGGTTGTTGACTGGGACCCCAGCGAAGGGGGTGATCGCATTTGGTCGCTGTAGAGGGGGGGGTATTTTATGTGACAGCCTCAGCAGACCTCAGTTGAAAATAAAGGCGATCTTCTTGCAGGAATCCTGGACATATTTGGATTCGAAGATGTGGGCGCTCAGTGGAACTCATTCGAGCAATTGTGCATCAATTACGCGAACGAACATCTTCAAGCGTACTTCAACCAGCACATCTTTCAGTTTGAGCAGGTACTCTTTGAGAATTCTTGTATTCCAGGACAAATGGGTGAGTGGCGGAGAAGGGGGGGGGGCAGTGGGCGGGAGCAGGTCAGTCCCACTCTCTACTCTTTTGCATCTCATCGGTGCAAAACAATGCATTAAACATGGTTTCGAGAGAGCGCGAACGGGCAGAGAAGTGGCATGTCACAAGAAAGACTTCGCAGTCCACGGAATCACTGCTACCGTACTCGCTTGGTTCGTTTTCCCGAGTTCAAGATCCCTAGAATTCCCATTTCATACCGCCTCCAGGTTTGCCCATATCATGTAGTTTTTACCGCATTGACTCAACCGCTTGACGTGTATGGAGTATTTTGTGCGCGTCCCCAAGCCTGGGCACGTGGATTTCTGCAGGGGTTTGGGTTATGGAAGCAGCAGTTTATCGGACTGCAAAATCTTTCTTGTCAACTACATTATCGCCAAATTTGGTTGGATTTTACTATTCAAAAATCTACGACTTCCAGGAAGAGTACCAGTCTCAAGGTATCTGTTGGACGAACATCGAGTACACCGATAACACCGAATGTGTCCAGCTTTTCCAGGTAGGACCATATTGTGGCCGCGTCCCGTTAACCTAAGCCAACTTTCGCCTTTCCAGAGTAAACCATACGGTTTGTTACGGTTGATCGATGAAGAGAGCAATATCAACAATGGAACTGACGAATCGATGCTTGCCAAACTCAATCAGTTCCTCAAGGTTTGGCACGAAAAACCTTTTCTGACTTATCGTGCACCAAAAGAGGGTGTATTCAGACCAACGAGTACTACGAGACGCCGCAACGCAAAGAACCAGCGTTCATCATAGCCCATTATGCTGGAAAAGTCAAATATCAGATCACGGTATGGATCTCAAGGCACCATGTGTAGGGTAGACAAAGAGGGGCAATGCAAATTTCCTTTGTTTCAGGGTTTTCGCGAGAAGAACAAGGATCTCATGCGGCAGGACGTACTGAACACATTGAAGACGAGCAGATGTGCACTAATGAAGGCGGCATTGGCCACTGACCCAGTGGCAGCTTACAGGTTAAAGATAGGTATCAGTTGGTTAGGGGACCGGCTATGTTAGCTTTTTCAGGTGGACCTTCGCTCGAACTGTGTTCCGAGCCATGAACGCCTTCAAACAATCGGGGAAGAAGCTCGCCAGAAGCGGTTTGTGTACTTTCCTACTTTCCTCTTCCATTTTGTTTTTCTTTCTTTTCTGTACTCCGCCAAAGGTATAGTAGTGTGTTTGAAGAGTCCGCTGGTCACCTTCGAGTGATCAGAGAGGTTCCGGAGGCTCGCCGTGGATCGGATACGGCTCTCTCACAGTTCCTCCGTGGTGATTTGCACATTGATCTGCCTGACTTCTGTGACACCAGCATGTTCAAAACGATCGTCAATCAAGCTAGGCGCACGCCGGCAAAAGGCGAGGAACGCATCAGTACGGTCAGATGTCTGCAGGTGAGTTGGATTGACAAAGGGTGGGGGGGGGGTTCAGGGCGTTCACGACTGGGACTTTCGAAATGGTTTATCGTTTGTTGTAGAGATGCATTTATGAGCCACAAAATGAGGTTTCGTTTTTCTGGTATCGTTCTGGGAGCGCGAAAAATGTAAAAAATGGGTGCACTTCCGCTTGATGCGAGCATCGAATGGTACTTAGCGACCTTTGTACAGGCTACCAGGTGAAGACCTATGGGTCTCGGAACCAGAGCGGTTCAGTTGTATAACTTCTCATTTTTACATGTATGCAACTTCAGTTAAGCTTTCTTACGAAAGAATCTACCGAATCTAAAAAATGCTCCCCTCTCCAACCCTTCCTCCTAAGCTAAACCGACTAGGAAGGGGCCATAGAAGGCGCACTATTGCACTAATTGCCAGGTGTAGCGCTTTGCCTACGTACGGCTTACTATTTTTCTAGTCGTCACATTGAAAGGATGTGGAATCAATTGCAAATACAGTATTGCATCAAAGGCCCCACGTTCCGATGATGGGGAGGGCGTGGCACTAGAGACGGAATAGCAGTAGCCTCAAATGGAAATACCACGCGAAAAAAGCTCGTAGAAGCGAAAATTTCCTTACGTATGGGCGACCGAACAGTAAGCTACTTGTTTTGTATGGTTTTTGGCATTCTCAGAATCGTGCGGGAAAAAGGGACAGTGTTTTGTGGTCCCTGCATGCACTCTATTAACTTATTTTCCTAAAAAAGCGCTTCACGTTCTCAACATCCTTCCTTGTGGAAAGGATACCATTCACTTCCTTACAATAACTCTTTCCAGATCCTCAAAGAAACGATAGGAAAGCGGAAAATTTCGAACAAGCCCACTTCGGTCTCCAAACAATTCGAATTTTCGCTGAATCGTCTCATGAACACTCTTGCTCATGCCTCACCATACTTCATACGATGCATAAAGAGTAACAACGACAAGGTGAGCGGTGCTTTTAACTGCCCTTCGATTTCTTGCCTTTTGGAAAAGGGGGGCGGGGGCGGTAAGTCGACTAGAGTTGTGCCGTTGATCGTATGCGAAGGGGTTAGGCCTACCGTTACGCTTTCTTTACTGGAGCGCTCCTCATTTTTAAAGTGGTGCTCCAATGAGGGAAGCTGATGAGGCTGACCCCTCCCACGCAATAAACGTGGACGGCGTCTCCAAACTGGCAATCCGCAACTGTTAGCCTCTAAGTTTTTCAGATCCCGAACCACTTCGATGACAACATCATCCTTCGCCAACTTCGATACACTGGTATGCTAGAAACGGTGAGAATCAGGAGAGCCGGCTATAGCGTGCGAATAGAATGGGATGTGAGTTCATTTTATAAGATCCCATGCTTCAGGTTAGAGCGGTCTATGCTACACTTTCCAGGCTTTTGTTCAACAATATCGCGTGCTACTTCCCAATGGATTGAACAGTACGAGAGAAGACGTGAAGCATTTCCTCAGTACACATCCTTCCATCGCTCCTGATAACGTTCAGTACGGTGTGAGCAAGGTAAGTGCCAGTGTAGAAATGGGCGCAGTTCGGCTTGGTGGGGGCACGAAATGGTAATCAGCGAAGCTTGTATAGGCCACCCTCGTGACCTGACCAGAACTGCTCATACCACTTCGCAGCTTCACAACTGTCACTCAATATGAAATAGCAACGGATTTAGAGGAAGCACAGCCCAGATCCCCCTAAGCCGAACTGTGCCCAGATTCTTTCAAGTCCCCCCAATCAAGCCAGGTTTTAGATTTATATGAGGGACGCTGATAAGTTAATACTCGACGACCATCTTCATAGGGTAATCATGCAACATATCGGTAAGCTTTTACTGGTACGTCATCCGATCTCACTTTTTTGAGCACAAAGTACTTTAAAGATACGTTGCAACGTTGGTTCCGTACGATCATTGCCAGAAAGCGCTACTTACGAATGAAGCAGGGCATAGTGAAGATTCAGGTTGGTCCTTACAGTATGCCTGGAATATCCTTGACATGAACAACCGACCTCTATTTAGGCACTTGTACGGGGTGTACTGGCGAGGAATCACCTGCGAAGACAGGCCTATGCTGCCCTTGTAATTCAAAGCAATTGGAAACGGTATGTCAGGAAGAGCGTATAAATGAACAAGTGTACAAGTTCAGGGACTTATACAGTACCCCCGAAAATGGGTGTGAAATTAAATGCGTTGGGCCGTATAAGCAGGAAGGCCAGGAAGAGGCCAGGGACTGAGGGGCCTCAGCTAGTCCCGCTGGGGCTGCAGCCTAGGAATCCTTAGGCGCAATTTGCTGGGTGCTGGTACCACGAGCTCTCGGTGCTCCTATGCGCAGCCTGGGTTACCCGTCCCACCTGTTTTCTCAAACCTGTAATTTAATCTCTCGGCAAGCTTTCACGGCCCAACACGTTTAATTTCACTCACGATTTTCGGGGTAATGTATACGACCTGCTCCCCTGAACTTATCCTGCCCTCAATGGCCCCAAGGCTCGAAAAAGTACATTTCGTTCAGGTATCGCGAAGAGCACCGGTATCGATTGCTGCGTGAAGCCGTCATAGCGCTCCAATCGGCGTTCAGAGGCCGTGAAGCCAGGAAAAGGTTAGTACTCATCTTTCTAGGATAGATTTCGGTAAGATGGTCCAGTGGAGGACTTCGTTGCGCTCTTCGAAGATCTAAATACTTGTCGTATACTTTCAGGATCGGAGATATACCACGCCAACGAGGGCGGATTCGGGTGAAACGAGTTCAGGCGGTGAAGCTCCCAGTATTCGATCTCGACAATCCTCAATCATTGGCTGTGTTCGGGTTAAGCGATGATGACGATCTCGAAAGGTGAATATGGCCAAACGAAAATGGGCAGCGCCAGCTTTTTCTCCACCAATTTTTGTTGCTTCAACAATTGGTGAAGAACAGGCCAGCACCGCGCTTAACCCAGCCCTCTGACACGCCCAGCGTCTACAACGGAAACGACCATAACTGCGTGGTTTTTACAGTGATGACGATGACGGCGAATCGACTCAAGATGGTCTGGATGAGGATGTGTCCGAAAGCAGCGTGCTGGGTGAAATGTAAGCGATTTCAATACGAGCCTTGCTCAAATGAGGGTATTTCCCAGATATTTCCAGCGATGATGAGGCGATCGAGCTCGACGCGACGTTCATTCTCGAAGATACTAAGTTGAAGCTTATTGAGTAAGTATTTCTAATAGAGAATCCGTTTGAGAGGGAGAAGATGCATGGGGCATCTCTGAACGGAAAGGATCTGCTTCTAGGCCCTAATCTTGCTACGTTATTCTGGTGAAGGCTAGCAGCTTTCCAATTGCTTTTCACTGAAAACTGAACTACCGGCGACAACTCTGCGCTGACAATCTTACTTTGCAGAGATTCCTGCGATCTTGCCAGCCATCGCCGGCAATCCCTTGCCCCAACCGCTTCGACAGCAAAGTTAAAGATGTTGAGAAGAGCGAACAGTACAGACAGTAATACGATGGTTCGTACAGATGACACTTTCAAGCCTCTTCAGGTGAGTTTCAAAGGAACATCGCTGAGCTGCTCGCCAATCACAACACTTCTTTCAGCTTGGGAGTCCAACGGCAAAGAAAAAGACGGGTAGCCGTATGGGCTTCACAAAAGCCAAGAAGAACTTGAAAGCGTTATTTGGTCGACGAAGTGATAGCATCAACGAGTATGACGGGGTTGACAACGAGTTGCCAGCAAGGTGAGCGGACAAGCTCCTTCTGATTCCTCGAGTGAGTTGGCTTCGCGCAGCTTTCGTCACAAGCGAGTCTTCCTTTAGAATGCTTCAAGGCAAATGTCGCTCTGATCGTATGGGAGGAGACAAAGAACCGCTCCAAAGCGCGCACCTCCTTCTGACCCCCTTAAGAGGAATGGTGCACCAGCGAGGAAGGCACAATGATTCTCAGCCTCCACCCATACTAAATTCTAAGTTTAGGGAAACAGGCGGGATACAGTACCCCATCTGCGGTAAAATTGAGTGCTTCAAAGTCAATCGTCACGGCAACATCTGGCTACGGGTGGAAGCCGCAATTAGGGTCACTCTCGCCTCGTAAGCATTCACGGAGCCGATACGTGCAACTTTTGGAAGTACTGTATACCATTTCTTTTCCTGAACCTATTATTGTCCCATCCATTCCAGGGCTATACGCTTTACTCTTATTCGAAAAGAGGGATCCCGGTGGTTCTTCGCTCTCTACCGCTATCTCTACCGTTCCTTTTTGGGAGGCAGGGGGAGCAGAAGCAGGCCTATCGGTAAGCATGGGAATTTGAAGGAGAATCATGCGAAGTCGTTTTCCTTTCAGATAGAAGTATTAGTACTTAGAGCCCCCTTGCAGTTTTCTAAGACATTGGAAAGTCAGAGCCTATTTCAGCAACGAATTATCCCTTCCCTCCGTCACACCGGACCATCACCTCAAGGTGTCACGACTGCATAGGCAGGAACCTTGTGCGGTTTGCAATCGACATCTCAGCGGCTTCATCACTCAGGTCTACAAATGTACCCGTGAGTTTCATTTTCCGCGATAACTGGATGGGCGGAGACTCATAGACGCTGTTTTTTTTCTGACGCACTAGAAGATGGGACGCTACTCAGCAGCGAGAAAGACGCAGTGACTATGATTCTCCATTCCTTTGCGCACCCAAACCGAAATTCGCGGAAAATGCCTCGAATAGCTGAGATTCTCATTCAGAGTGTAAGCTGTGTTTCCACAAGGAATGCTCCTCCTTCGCGAAGTCCCTTCCCTGCCAACCGTCGTCGCCGCTGAGGTCGCCGACAAGGTTCGGCTCACCACGACGAGCATGGGATATTGTGTAAGTGGTTGTGCCCTTGAACCAGTCTCCAGCTGAAGCTAACCAAAGAACACTCTCATCTTTAGAAGCAAACCGCGACCGTCGATGGCAAGTGAGACAACCTCCAGTTATTCACGATCATTCAATCTCAACAAAACAAAGCAACAGGTACTCGAACTTCCCGTCTAACTTAGTATTCCGATGAAATGCGAAATATTACAGACGGATCCGGGTAATATGATCGTCGAGTCTACGGAGGATTTGCGCCAATTCAGTGTGTTCATATTCAAAAAACAATCGAATTTGGACCAAAAGGCCAGCAAGAGGGACACGGTCGTGGATGCACTCTTCAAAAAATCGCTCAGAGAGTTCCACATGGAACTCATCGGCTACGAAGCTGTGCTTAATGTGAGTTTTTTTATATGGCAACCTTCTCCAATCGGATCACCTTATGATTAAACGAAAATAAGAAGGCAAACATAGGGCAACATCCACTCCATATCCAGGAGATGGAGGAGTATGGGGAGGGGGGACTGCATTTGAACGTGGCGGCCGCGCTCTTGGTGGGGTATTGCCGGTTGTGCATTGTGATCACGTCTTTGTTCAGCACAAAACGGAGTGGCACCTACCTTTAGTGGAAACGCCCCGTGGAAAATGTATCCTTCACAATATTACGTGTCCACAGCCGCGCCCCTTCATAGTGCGCAGAACGCAGCCACGCCCCATCCCTCTACGGGATATGAAGTACAAGAATCTAATGCGAATTGCCATGCGTCCGGAACAATCCCTATAGAAGTTTCTCCCCTGAGTTTCTCCCTTTGACGCTACCGGGACGGTGCGGGCGGTGCGTGACACCTGCTCATTGTTAGGTGGAACACGGTGATCTCGCATGATTCACCCAATAAGTTTGCGCTTTAAACCAGAGAGTACGTACGTAACTACGCCCACAATGGCCTAGCTAGCGCCCGTGCCCAAACGTTGGCTGTGATCAATCTAGGACCCGACCGACTGCATAGAGAAACTCTCTATACGTCAAAGGTGGGAGAAGGGCGAATCTATCGCTAGTTAATTCGGTCACACCGCTCACGTCGGCGCCGCGAATGGCACGGCAATTTCAGAGTTATATTACCGTATCCATAAGTTATCGTTGGAACAAGGGGGTGCATTAGCTCACGGGTCCTACACCAACATCAGAGCCAACATCGAAACATCAGAGATTGGAGCATCCGCCCGCGATCCCCTAAAAAAGCTGAATCAGCCCTAAGACAACACGACTTGTACGCCATGGCTGCAGCATTGCCAGCCGCCAGCACGGCGGCCCTCGACTGAATCACCACATATCCGTGAAAAGCAAAGCTGTTCGGGGGGGGGGGGAGAGGGTGGTGAATTCAATAGAAGGGTGTCAGCGATTGGAACTTTTCCTAAATATAACGTCACTGTTTTTATTTCATCCCGGGGCCAAAGAAAAACACGTTGTCGTTTGCACGAGTGGATTCGATGGACATTTTTAGGAAGAACGGGCTGTGCTGAAGTATCGCGATCTGATCACGACGTTCGAAGGTGTGCTCACAAAAGTATGCAAAGAGGAGAAAGTGTCATTTCCGACGACGCTGGGGGTAAATGCCTTCAGGTGAGTTCTTTTCTCTGTAATACCTTGCCATAGCCCCTGAAACATGGCTTTCAGGGGTTTCCTGAACGAGTTCATGCAAAATCAAAAGAAGCGAGGTGCAAAGCAGAAGTCGTCCAGTATCATCAAGGTACGGTCTGGTCATTCAAGCTAGGAATCTTCCGTCTGATCAACAGTTATCACGCTTTATCACGATCGATAACTTGCCTCATTGCTAATTGCTATCTGCTAGTATGCATTCAATGAATTCTAGAGTGTACGTAAGAAACGTCGACGTTCGGATGTGACCGTGGTGAGCATTCGCAGAACACGCTGACTGCTAACACTCTCCACCACACACTTTACTAACCGCATGCCACCTCGACCAAACCTTCCTCCCCTTTTCTTCATATTTTCCTGTTTGAGTGAGTTACTAAACTGAACAATGCAAATCGCCGTCATCTCACGGCATGATATCGAAGATAGCTGATCAGTTTAGATTTGGCCCTGAGGCAGCCTCCGTAATTAATCAAAAAACAGTGACGATTTGATTCGCAGAAAAAAAAATAATATTTCACGGTCAATCGCAGATCCGCTTGGGACGCGCCGTCATCCGGCGGTGGCGTGTCGAATATGGCATCGAATTGAAAGACTACGTTTCATAGCTTGCACTGGCCACGAGCGGTTCTGTCGTGGCAATTTAGTAACACCCCCTGCGCTAGTGGTGGGCTAACGCATTTGGGGAGGGGGGGGGGGCAGGGGCGGCGAGGCGATGAGCTCATCGCGCTCTTGGGGCTTCCTACTTGGCATAAAATAGAAGTAATTTCATGTTTAGGACATGATATAACACCGTCCTAGCTATATTCAAAAGCTAAGACAGTTAACGCTGAAAAGTGCGAAGAAGCAGTTGTAGGTTGACTGGTTCTTGACCTGAATGTTGACTGCAAAAGATCAAACATTCGTTATCAAAGTTTCTGTGAGTTTCTCAGGCCAAAGTCCGCATTAAAGGTTTCGTGGACCGGGCGTCATTGCTCCCCAGATACCGTTTGGCCCCAAAAGGATAAGCTCCAGCAATCTCGCTGTCTGTGCGTGGTCGATATGCATCGGAATTGTAAGGCTACGTTCATACCTTCACGCGACGGGCGGTTCCTGGATGCGCAATTTTATGATACACCCTAAGCGTTATGAGGTGATAAACGTATTTGAGGTACAGGGGGGGGCGGGTGGGGCAAGCGGCGAGCGATGAACTCATCGCGTGTTGCTCGCATCCTTGGCTATATAGAAATAATTTCACGTTTCAGGATTTAATGAATCGTGCTAGCTATAATCAAATGTTAAGACGGTTAACGCTGAAAAGTGCCCGAGAAGAAGTGTAGGTTTGAGCTGGTCTTGACCCTGATGTGACGGCAATAAATCAAACATTCGTTTCTCAGGTGATCGGTGGGATTTATCGCAAGTTCCATTTGAACTTGTTCAGTTCCATTTAATATTGGGCTGGCTGGATTTACGCGCTTCAAGTATGCCGATGAGTGAAATGGCTGGCTCTGTGTCACTCACGCTCGGCGCGCGAGGCCAGCGTGCGCCCCCCCCCCGCCCAAATACGTTAGCATCGCGCTAGTCATTGGACCGCAGCAATGGTCAGAAGAATTGTCCTTTGTTTGGGTGAACCCACGGTTAATGCGCGTCCAACCTAATTAGGGATTGAGCGCCAAGTCACCCGTGAAGGATAAACGTGGCCTAATCGTAATCACAGATTCCACGAAAACTGCAAGGAACCTGCGAACTATGAACGCTGCGTAACGCACATAGCAGCAAGCTGGTCTCTTCATAGCAAGAGCTTGTAGTAATCAAGAATTGCTTTGACTAACTGTGACCGATGCCGCAAAAAAGAAGGAAAGCTTCGTGGTATGGATGTGGACGCGAGTGCGCGCAAGGCAGGGCACTGTAGGCCAGGATCAATTGCAATAATTTCTTATGCAGAAAAAAACCCGTCCCAGATGTTAGTGGGCGCTGGGATTCCTTCTCCATCCCATCGTGCATTGACGCCCTGACTTGATGATCCAATTCAATTCTAGTCTCTGCGGAAATATGAAGTTTTTCCCATGAAACTATTGTCGGGGCGGTACACACTCGAAACAGGAAAGATCGAGAAATGTCAGGAATCGAAAATTTTTCCTAGAACGCAAAAACGATCTCCCTCGCTGAGCATCCCCAACGTACGACGTGCCCTAACTGCTGTTTTGGACAAATGAAGTCGGGATTCAAAGATAGCAATTACGGTGAAGTGCAAGATCTAACCCAAGGCGAATCAAAGGCAGGTTTGGGGCTAAGGTGGTTGAGCGGGGACAGACGACAGGATCTCGAATCCCTCCGCTCCAAGACAAGCTGTACACTCACTTCCGTGAATCCTGGAGCCATATGCTATACGTCTCTTCGAGGGGAGATATCCCCAGTAATTCTCCACTCCCTACCGTTATCTCTACTGATGCCTTGTCTCTCTGGCTATCGCCCTCTGCACCCATACTCTTCTGGCGCATGCTCTGTGCGGATAGAGTGCAGCGTAGAATCGGCATTCTCCCGTCTCGCCAGAGCATGTCTCGGGGGGAGATTTCGCGAGAGTGGGGGAGCAAAGATGCAGAGGGGGCAGCAGGGATGAGGGGCATCGACAGAGACAACAGCAGAGGTAGGGACTTTCCCCTTTAAAGAAGTATAGCATTCGGCCCCTGCTCCTTGCCCTGTGTGGGAGAACGGGTTTGCAGCTGCAGCGTGTGCCACTTTCTCCGGTCAAAAGTGCACGGGGACGGGGTTGGAAGTTATTGCTTCTCGAGTGCCTTGTCCATACCCCGCCTACGTCGCCACACCAGCCAGTGGAACAGGTCCTGAGCTTTCGTGTTCGGTAGGGGGTTTAACCCACACTGACCCTGGTTACTTCACAAAATTTGGCATGGAGAGCTCATATTCATACTTTACCATACCTTTGTCTCCACGAAGCGTAACATAGCGCTTTCTCATGCTGACTGAGAGCGGAGTAGATTTGCACTGTTTGTTTTTCTTTCTGGTTTGCCGTTAAATAGATGGTTTCAGATAGATTAGAACCCCTTAGATTAGGAACCATGCATGCTCAATCTGGGTGTACCGATTTCAGGTACACGCTGGACATCGCTTCAAAGCCGATCTGGTGCATGTACCGACATACTGCGAAGTGTGCAACCAGTTCATGTGGCATGCTGAGAAGATTTTCATCTGCATGGCTTGTCGCATTTCATGCCACAAGAAGTGCCACGCCAAGATCACACAGCAATGTTCGATGATGGTCGCGCCAAGTTTGACCAGTGGGGTAAGTTTAGGAAAGAAGTGGCCAGGGGCCAGAGTTGCGGCAACGAATGCGACGCATGTAACATCACTTCTAACGCCGCCGCAACTCGGATCTCTCGACCCACTTTCAACTGTTCTAAAATTAATGTGTGCGGTTTAAGTCTGGAGGACGATTCTTCGGAGCAGTACTGGCCAGCCTGGTAGATGAAGATCACGTCGTTCCACCGCTTGTGGACCGTCTCTTCATGAATGTCGAGACAAGGGCGCTTTTCGTCGAAGGGGTCTATAGGTTCGCTTGAGATCCCTTATTTTTGTTGTGGCGCTTAATACACCATATAACTTCACTTTTAGAAAGAGTGGATCGTTAGCACAAGTACGAAGTATACGACGAGTTATAGAAACCGCACCAGGTAATTCCTGTTTACAAGTGGAAACATTGGGTTCCGAGCACGTCCTACGTTGGGGATCCCGGAAGGGGGGGGGTCATATCTCGCCGCTGGGAGTAAGGCGTAACTGCCTCCGAAAAGCGTCTTTCGTTTCATGCGCACTGGATATTCCTGCCCTCTCGCCACCTTTTCCCCTTCGGCGGCGCCGCAATTCAGTAAATCGGGAGAACCTCCCCTATCCACGGACTTTAGAGGGAGATGCGTGTTTTGGAATGTACTCTGGGACGTGGCCTGCGGGAGCCATGATAGCACGGTAATCATAGTCTAGTTGCGCCGCTGCTCGCAGCACCGTGCGTATAAGCTTAGAGCCTTTACGGCAGTCATTAACCCATTTTTGCGCTACTTTCAATTGCAGAATGCCCTCCGCGTACTTTTTCAGTCAATTGATCTTCCAGATTTCGATTCTGTCTCTTTGGAAGACGTACAGGTTCATGTGCTGACGACGCTCGTAAAAGCATTTCTAAGGGAAATGCCTGAACCGCTGATCACGTTCGACCTCTACGAGAACTTCCTCAACGTTTCCGGTAAGTACGAATCACGATATTCCTTTGCCTTCTAAAACAATTTGTGCAGTCACCTCCACAGGTCTTGATCCTGTGAGATTATAGCGCCACTGTCTCGGGTCAAAAAAAGCTCTGCCGGAACGGCCGGGCTGGAGTGCGTAACGATATCTTTGATTGCGCCCCTCGCCAGATTCTGAAAGGCCGCCGTCGGCTTTTATCCCTGCTAGCTTTCGTTCTGAAAAGGCCGACGCAAGTTAATTGATTCCCAGGGCGGCGCGTTCATACTAGCCAATTCGCGCGATTCACTTCAACATAACTGCATCCACTGCTGATCAAGTGGGTGACGCGTAAACTAACAGACTCTGCACTTGGCAGCAGTCCGCGCCCTTTGCGAGCGCGCGGTCGCGGCGCGGTTTCGGCGCTAGAGCATCATAATCAACCACCGCGACCAGCGAGTAGCATCTTAAGTTGACTACTATGAACTCAACATGGGAATATCACCACACTATACTCACAAAAGCATCGAATCTTGTACAGTAATGTTTATGATGTGGCGTCTCCCACTAAATTTGCCGTTGCAACTTTGACGGCGGAGGTAAAGTCGAGTAAGGGGAACAAACGTCTCCTTATCATGTTTAGGCGCCTCGCCCATCAATATGGGGACATTTCCTCTAAAGTGTACCCGCTTCCTTAACTTTAAGCATTCTGCGCTCGAAATGGCTTCTTCAAGAGAGCAGTTGGAAACAGCCTTCTGCCCTACACTTCATCAATGTCGTAGCAATTCAATCAATTTTGCACGTTCATTTTGCGGGTCCTGCAATTACATGCCTTATTAGAATGTGGCATTTTGTGAGTTATACAGTGCTCCTTCAGCAATGCGAAGCAAACGGCACCTTTATACGCAACGCTTCTCACAGAGTACCCTATCTGGGGAAACGGCGACAGGGAAATGGATCTGGTTGTTTCAGATAATTCCCGGTTGTATCAGTGGAACCGTTCTGGTGAAGCACTGTGGCCAGCTTTTGGATGTGACCCATCAAGTTGGTTGAGTACGGCGAGACTTTCTACATTCCTTACAGTGATTGACATCTGAAAAACAAAAAAAAGATTACACACAATCCCGAGACCAAAAGGGTTTTCGCTCTTGAATGGGTGATGTATACATTATAACAATGAGCACTGTGCAAGTCATGTAAAGCGATTCAAGTTGAAACATCTGTTTTGCTTCCTTTGAGCTTCGTCAGGTGCGCGCCCCCTGATCTTATCAAGTTATGCCCCAAAATTACGGCCTCCTTTCATACTTTTCGCCTCACCGGCGTTGTCGACCGTATGAGCCGCGCGCCCAGCATCTTCAGGGTAATCGTGCCGGCCGACCCACTCCGGATGCCCCCTCAAGTCGCGAGTTCTAGCCTAGTTTTACCTTACGCTTCTGATCAAGTGGACCGTCACTATGTAGGTAAATAAAGTCCTGTCTGCCACTCTGCTTGTGTCCTGCAGCTGTGCCCTTTAAAGCGAGCAGTTGCCAGCCGCCGTTCCCAACGATTAGCGGTGAAGTACCGGTCGTCACAGCACAGTCCCATAACTCCGACAGGACTGAATGGCTCGAGCCGAGCTCAACAGAAATTCAAGTTCAGTGTATTTACAGAGGTGGACGATCTGATAGAGCGCGGAAGGTGTCTAGCGGTGATGATCGATCTGCTTCCAAAGACGAATCGTGGTCTGCTGGATCGATTGATGTTCCACTTAGCCCGAGTGGCTCATCAGGTTCGATTTCCTACGAATCAGAGTGAGTAATGGTAATCTCCTGCGTATTCTAGGAAGCCGTCAATAAAATGGGACCCTCAAATCTTGCCCTTATCTTCGGCCCGTGTATATTGAGGAGGCAGGACAATGTGCACGCTCAGGTAATGTTCTTCCGACGTGAATGACGATCCCTAATGGTCATCGAACTTGGGATTTTCAGGAGCAGCTCAATGATGTGTCAAGGCAGGCGATTTGTGTTCAAACGTTGATCGAGGAAAAACTTCGGCAGTACAAAGCGACTCTCATCAATATTGTTGAGTTGGAGGATGCTAGTCAGAAGGTTTGGATCGCTACTTTCAGAAGTTCCACTGAAATTCTCTCATCACAAAAGGGGTACAGAATGTAAGAAATAGGTAACGTTCTCCCAAATTTGATAGTTGGAGGGGTTATGTTGTGGGTTTGGGAGCGGACAGTCAACAATCGTGCATTCGTCTTTGGTGCTACCCCTCCCCCCCCATCCTCAGAGGCGGTGAAGGGGAAGAGCGCATCAATAAGAAAGGCGGACTAGTTGCCTGTCTCCGCCCATACGATCAGCAAGCACCAGGCCTTTGCAGTTCGTAATAAGCTCTTCATAGAGTACTGGGCAACGACTGCACTCCGTAGACATCGGCCAGGCGAAAAAATGAGGAAAAAAACTGTGCCAAACCAAGCGTGCTCCTCCAAAATGGCCCTTACTCCTCGGTCCGACTACTGGCAGGCTGCGCTGTTTTTGTCTATCGCCGCTGTTCAATGTGCTCTATGGGAACGCGTTGGAATACTCGCAGTAAATTGGTCCACAAGTGGATTTGTACCACCTGCAGTGGCGGGGCATATAGGTCACCTGCTTTTTGGGGTTTTCTGATTCCGCTTTGATGCTTGTGTTACACTCTCTGGTGAGTTGTATTGTTCAGGTTAGTGCAAATCTGCGTCGAATAGAGGAGCATCAGCGGCTTGACGAAGCGGTGGAGAACATCGGAACTGCCAAGCAACTTTTCGAGGAACAACTGGATTTCCTTGGCAGACAAAAGTGCGTTCACCTCCTCTTCAGAAGGTAGTAACATGTGAAACATTCTGCCCATTTCAGGGAACGATTACTACAAGAGTTGCCTCCTTTGGCACCAGTTGCTTCTTCAGAAGACCTCTCATCGTCAGATGAACACTCTTCAGGTAATTTTGACCATTTCACTGCTATTGTCAAAGCCATGTGGCTCAAGTTCTCTATTCAGGTATTACACGGGAAGAATATGCGATCGATATGGATGCACCACCAGTTTTCGGAGTGCTCTATCACGCGTGCAAATATCGAGCACCTCCTCCGAAAGGCAGGAAACTTCCATCACGGTTTCGACATTCTCCAGTAGTTTTCTACACTCCATTACCCGATTAGGGTAGTCGCTCATTGTTCACATGTGATCATATATTATAAAGAGTAAAAGAATTAAATATCGATTGTTATAGACTAGTGGGCAGAATGCTCGACGACCGCTTAATGCTCATCAGATGGCCCGAAGATTTTAGCGGGAAGTAAGGCTGCATTTATACTTTGCGGCAGCGTAGCGTAGCGCTTCCAACGTACGCTAGCGTAGCGAGGGCACGGGAAGCATAGCTATCGATCTAGCGCTCCCAGCGTTTCACGAGCGTCTCGCTAGCGCTTGCAGCGGCGGGGCTAGAGAGTATAGAATAGTAGGA